CCTTACACGAAATAGGGTGAATACATCTCATTACACTGATTTACTGGTAGTCTCGAAACCCTACTCCTATACGAATATTTGAGATTAACTGATTATCTCAAAATCTACTTTTTTGAATATTTCTGAGACGTGCAGTTTTGGGCACTCGGTGTAAACTTTTAAGCAGAACTTCCCGAGGGGTAGCCAATACCGTAAACAGGGCTTTGACCTTCCCGTGTGCCAAACTCCGCCTAGGCGACCTTATACGAAGTATGACCTTAACCCCTGTAAATGTCGCCCAGACCACGAGAAATGGCCAGGCCCAGAAGAACCGATCTGCATGGAAAAACAAATTCTTCCCAACTCCATGGAGGAATTGACCTTAACCCTTTTTAAGTGTTTATGCCAAACGAGAAAAATAACAAATCGTTCAAATACTGTTTTCTGCAGCAAATCACCAGCCCCAAGCAACACTGAGGGTCACAGTCTTAGTCATTTGTATAATCTCCATACAAATGCAAAATGGTTCGAAGCAGATGTTAATGGGGATGGCAATCCCTTAAAGGTTGAAATATCCCCACCTTGTAGCAGTTGGCTTAGCAACTAGAGGAGGCCCAGTGATCTTTCTAAGTTATGGCCAAAAATCTCCTCCCTCCATCAAGCTCAACAGGGCTTCACCAGGACAGGAAGTACTGTGCTCTGAATGACGGCCTACAACATCCAATGGCCACCGGTCTAAAGAGCATCACTCTCCAGGTTCTGATGGGGCCAAGCAACGAAGCCCTCGAAGGGTGCCTCAATTTTTAGTGTCATCCCAACTACAGACTGAAAGTTATAATACTGAGGAGTTTGATCGTCAGAAGCTTAACGGACACGGAGTTGTGGAATGAGGAATTTGGCAAACTAACTCGGATTTTCTTTAGTAGTTGGTACCCTAGAGTCTTTATAGAACGAAATGTAGAGGTCATAAAGAGCAGATGTAAACTAAAATTTTATTAAAATAAGATCAGGAATCATGAGGATATGCCTGCCCTCATAGGAACTGAGCCAAAAATTTCGACCGCTAATGACAAAATGGAAGATCAAGGTGATACCGAAGGAGAAGACGACACTTTTCACTAGTTTGCCTAAACAACACAAGAAGATTGACAAATGCAGCAACTGTGGGCATAAGTATATTGACGAAGCAGAAATAAAAGTCAGTCTACAAATCCAGGAACATCAAAGACTCTGCGGAAACATGGATACGAAAAGAAGTGGTTTGACCTTGTTGTCACAACATGGTCTTGTTGTCAGGGCGACCTAGTAGAACGCACCTTGTTTGAAGTTCTATGACATTGTAGTTATCATAATTTCCAGCATCAGAACGTGGACTGAGAATGGCAAGACTCACTGATGATGCCGACGAAACGCCTAAAAAGTACCAAGTCTACGGTCTGATGCTGGGAATTATGATAACTACTATGGCAGAGGATTTCGGAAAAGGTGTGTTCAACTAAGTTGCCCTGACAGCAAGACCAAGTTGCGACAACGGAGTCAACCCACTTCTATAAATCCAAATGAGACTGCGACCATACCGAAGGTCACACCATCTTTGTCTTCATATCATGGATACGAAAAGATACGAAATAGTGGAAGACAATGCATGGACGGGACACGAAACCGATTGCAAATCGACTGAAAGGATGGCTGGATAATGTGTAAGTACAAGAAAACTCAAGTTACCAGAAGCCATCGATATCGTGACTGGAAGAAATCTGATGAACAATAGATTTGAAAAAAAACATGATTAGCGAATTATTTACATATTGCCTAGGCTAACGGGGAGAAGATAACGCAACGGCAAGATCAGCAAAAGTAAGATGACTATATGCCGAATCCATTTTAAACCTGAGGAAAAGATATTGATAGGAGGCCTCAGAAGAACAATCGGAGATGAAGAGGAGACACCTACAGTGAGCCTAATCAAAACAAGTACAATCACAACATTTGTGGGTTGGCACACAAGAGACTAGGTCATAGAAAGTCATACACTCGGCATTATGGATAGAAGAGCGAGATATGCGGAGGAGACAAGTGAGAGTTTATTATGAATAGATAAGTTTGAGCATAGATGAGGTCCATGAAGTAAAGTCTTAACCACGAGATTTACTCGGTGTACATGGAGAGCTAAAGCCTCAAGTTGGTTTCCCATCCAGCTTGAGAATCCAGACTTTGGGGGCTCGCTGAGTTCTCTCAAAGACTTGTGGCAGTGTAGAACATAGCAACCCGACGAGTCGATTGAAGTACCTGAACCAGTGAGACAAGAGACTGATCCTACGGGGCAAGAGGGAAACTCTGATAGGACATAGAGGAAGAGGATTGCAGAACAATAGGACAGACTCAGATCAATATTTCTAGCACAATAATGGGGGGTCGGGTGGGCATGCCAGCGTGGGGTGTGAATAGGTA